TATGGGCGGGGGGGGGAGCCCTCAGCACTGTTTTCCGAGCACACTTTTCGCGAGGTAAGCGCGTTGGAGTGTGCTCTGTCAGCCGCGGCCCAGACTTCTCCACGGTCACAACCGAGGGTAAAGGAGGGTGCGGTTGCAGCGGCTGCTAACAGAAAGCCGGTCAGGGGCAGTGGGGTGGAATGGTGTTGTTGGACGGACAGCGCGTGTATACATCGGGGCGCCTGTGAGAGATATAACGAGGGGTTATGTATGGTAACCCTTGTTATATAAGCACAGGCGGAGCCCTCTACTCGGGGGCCCTGTTGGTCCTATGCCGCTCGCTGAAGAGGATGACAGTCAGGAGGCGAGGCCTCCTTTTATACGGTGAGATGCGCGCGCATTCAGGTAGGCCCGCCCCGGGCCGGCTACGGTTATAGAAGTCTCAGTGGATGAATGCTTGCATGATATGATCAAAGGGTAGTACCTATGGAGTCCAGTAGAGGGCTCCGCCTGTGCTTATATAACAAGGGTTACCATATGTAACCCCTCGTTTTCACCCCAAGCTGTTGACTGGCAACGCAATTCTGTTGATAGTTATGGCTGATAAGGCTTATTACTTATTGGCTTATGACTTATTACTGTTTTTATATTTTAAACCCCACAGCAACATAGGAAAGACAGTCATAACATGACCCGGTGCCATAGTTAATAGACAAAATATTTTCATACATAATACTATTAATGACTTTATTTTGAAATTCAGTTCCTGATGGACGACAAAAAAGCCAGAGATTATAGAATTAAACAAATAGATAAAAACAAGGATAATTGTAAATAACAGTGTGTTATTTAGAAAAGAACAACAAATGGACTTAAGATTAAAAAAATACATATTTCAGTATTCTGAGGCTCTGAGCCCCATTTATTTTCCTCACGGACGGCAAAAAAAGTCCGACATTATACAATTTAAAATAAAAACAATAATCGTGGCTTGATATTGAGTAAGAACATGTTTTTATGAACCCCACAGCTTCCGGTCTTCCAAGACCCGAACGGACAAAAAGACGTGGTGCAGGCACGAAACATACTACCAATAGAAATACATTGCTTTTAAAATCGTTCTGTGTGACACAAAAAAAAGAGGAAAATCGTGTTGGTGAACACGAATCAATAGATTACATTTCGTGACTATAACACAAAATGCTGTGAGACTGGGTTGGATATAATCAAAGATCAAATGTCAAAAGTATCTTGAGAAAATTCAGCAACATCCAAATAACCTGATCGGATTGAGTCTATTCCTTAACTTGGTTATTTTGCTCAATCCGTCTCACTATGGCAGCCATTTTGAAAGGTAAACCTCCTAGTTGAACTTTAAGTTAATACTGAATCACATTATCTTTGTTGTTTTGGTGCGACAGATGTACATTTTAATGTAACTTTACAGTAAAAACTAAACTGATTTTGAAATCAAAGCTTTAATGTTATCTTTCTTGATTTTTGGGTGTATAAAGTGTTGTGCTAAATAATCAACTATAATTCAATTGGGTTTAAAAATGAATCCTTGTCCAGGCATGCATTGCAAATGATCTGTTTTGAATGACCATTAAATACGGAATATCATTTAAAGCGATCCCTGAACACAAGATACAAACTGGGGAATGAGTGAGCATGAAAACAACATCTGTATTCCTGACAGGCATGGCTTAACTTTCCTCTGTTAATTCAATTTGACAGCCTACATTTACTTCACTTGTTTTCTTTGGTTATATAACTGAGAAAAATCTATAAAGCACTACTCGCATGTTCCATTGACCGTAATTGTCAGGTCAGTTTAGCTGTCATGTCAATGCAACTGCCGATCAATAAGTGGGAACCATTTGAGAGAGCTGTAGAGTGGAGATGACATGTCATGTTGATGTTAAATTTAGCAGCGTGCAGGATGTGATCTAACTATCCCCTCTGGTATTTACGAACACTTGCTTTGAACGATAATGTCCTCAAAGAAGTTGTGTGTGCTTACTAATTTAATTTTCATATTAAGGTCCTGACACCTTAAAAACAAGTTGTTGGGTGCCTTGATATCCAGTCCCTTGCAACCTCTACTACCAAGCAATAGGCCTACTGCTCTTTTACATCATCACACCCAATCATTTCCAAACAAACACACCAAACTTGATAACAACAGTGGCTAACACGGTTAGCTGAAAAAAACCAGCTCAGGCAGAACCACAAATCGAGAAGAAATACCTTAAAGGATAAAATAACAAGTTCTGCTGACAGCTTTATTTGCTTTCATCCTAAATCCTGTGTTTTAAGTCTGTCTGACTTCAAACCCAAACACATAGGCTACTGAGTCAAGATTTATGAAAAGTAAAACAATCGTTTAAAAGGGTGGTTTCATGCTAGTTAATATGTTTTTACACGCTTATATCACTGTGTTTCTTATTCTTGGTCTGTAGTAATGAACAGGGCCGTTACATGTTACAGTAACGACAAATCCGCAGAAGGAGAGATAGCTAGTATTAGCAGTTAGCAACTGGTGGGAAGTAGGCTACTGTCCTGCTTGGTTCCATTGAGTTACAGTATGATGCGTTCAAGCTTTATTCAGTGAATTTGTATTTGATGAAGGTAAATGATAACGTTATTGTTATTTGTTCAAATAAATCTTGTAAGTTTAGTTTTTGGCAAAGACTTAAGACAAATACAGCTGTTTTAAAGTAATGATTTTAGAGCAATATTAAATAGATATTAAAATGGGGATTTATGACATGTTTAAACTACATAAAACTATTTCTCAGCAGCTTATTATACATTTTTTAAACTACTGGTGCCAATTTGAATATAGTTTATTTTATAAAACATCTGCTATAATTGACGATTAATAGTGATTTTGATGGGTTGAAATTATTTTTCGGGATGATCAACCTGTCCATCATAATTATTACCATCAGATTGAAAGTAAATCTATCAGAGAAAGCACATTTTACAGATACTATGTGTTTAACACCTGTATTAAAGGGCCAGGATTGCTCACACGCAGGAGACTCACACTTTTAATCTGAAGACTTTACGGCTCAGTGCAGCTACAGCACAGTCTCAACATTTGCAACTTTAGTCAACCCCGGGGAAGTACACTGACGATTAGCCAACTGTTGTTAAATGTCACAATTTGGAAATTCCCTGTTCACTTTCCCTTAGCCTGCCTCTTTTTTTTTTTATAACTACACAGCCGGAAAATGAGTACTTAGAAGGAGGAGAGGAAGATTTGATTTATCATGCTGCCATACCTACAGCACATTGAAATAGTTAACAAAGCTGCATCCTCACTACAAGACACTGACAGGTCGGTACAAACACGGATAAAGAATCACCTGAAGTCCTCTAACTTTGGTATTAAATAGGATGAAATCCAGATATGTTGCCATGGTAAGTAACACTACAAACAAACCCTGCAATTAGAAGTGCTGGTTCAGGCATTTAGATCAAACCTATAAAAGACAGTATAAGAGTCCTCATACATCAAACATAAGTCAAAAATAACGTGCCCACATTAAGCAGACAAGTAATGGCACGTTAAATGTGCTTATTAATATTAAAATAATAATCTTCAAGTTAAATGTTAAGTCACTCACTATTGTTGAGTAAGGTTAAACAATAGTGATTGTTCCCAGCAAATAAACATATTGCAGTATTTGTATATTTTGAGTTTGAACTGGGACTCGCTGTATGTAGTGACTGCTAATACACTGGACATTTTCAACTGTTGCAGCTTCACAATTTAGAGCACTTTACTGGCTAAGGATGAATAGACTTATGAAGTAATAGCAGGAAATGCAGTGCTATTGTTCACTAGAAATGTGTCAACTAAACACTAGTTGCCAGTATTAGAGGGCCCATGTCATACTTTTCCGGTTATTTCCCGTCCCTTTGGTTTTTCTGCATTTAAACGGTCTGCAGAGTCAAAAACCCTCAAAGTACACCCTGTAGCGAGTAAAACTCCAACACAGTCTATGCTGCCCCAGAAACGCCTCGATAGAGATTTCTCATTTTCCATTGTTTACTTCCTGGGTACTGTGACATGTGGAATACCCAGAGGCCACACCCCTCTGCCAGCCTTTCACGAAACAAAGCTTCCCAAACCTTTCAGCGATGCTGGATATGTACAGCGTAGGGCACTGAAGAACGATGCTGTTCCTACTTTGTTTGGACCAGCGGGAGATTCGGGTACACAACCTGATTCGTACACAACCTGTTTCAATTCATTGTTGTTTGTGTATTTATGATGTTTAAAACAAACAATATCTACCACGACTGTTTAAATGGGTAAACGTTTTTCGGACTACGTTGGGATCGCGGAGAAATGCTCTCCGCAGACCCATGCTCACAGCGTTATAAACCTTTTTCTTGCTCAATATCAAGACACACTTATTGTTTTTACTTCGGCTGTGAGTGTTTGTGTGTGCTCAGGATGAGTTTAGCTTGTTCTCGCTGTATCGCAGACCCGGAAGCCTGTCCGCTCCTCGCAGCAGATCGCAGCAACGAGCCTCTCAACGTCCCGACCAATCAGAGCACACTGGGCTCACAGGGAGGGGGGCCAGGAGCTCCAACAAGCCGTTTAGGACAGAGACGAGAGTGAATACCGGTGAATACACATACTTTACAGAGATGCTGTATGAGAAACCAATGTGAGTTTGGAAAATTGCACAGTATAAATATATTCTAGAATACCTCAACAGTGGAATTATGATCAGTAGAAATGGCCATGACATGGGACCTTTAATAATGAATCAAAGCAACATTTATAATTGTGCTAAAACTCTATAACAGCATTCCTGAACCAGTGTAGCCTGTTGAAAAATCGAATATAGTCTAATTAGTGAATGCCTAATTTCTTTGGAGTCATGGAGATGATCAATTATCTCCATGACTTTGTATTTATGCATTTTTTACTTTTGCAATATTCACTTTATAGTTTGACCAGCTTTATGAAACTAGTTACTGTTAGCCTGGTGACTGACCTGTGTTTGAGGAGCAGAGCCCGGAGGACACTGGATCTGTCCTCAGCTCTGATCTGATCGGAGATGATCATGGTCTCCACCACCAGGTGGGCGATGCCGGGCAGAGTGCTCTGCTCCAGGTCCAGCAGGATGGCCCCTGGGGGAGGAAGAAACAGGGAGATCAGGATCCAAACAGAATGCTAACACCAGATTGTTTAATAACTATTCTAATGTATCTCTGTCTGATCTAAATCGTGTTGTTTGCTGTGATTATGTCACCTGTAGTCTCGTGCACATACACAAAAAGTTGTGCTTCAGTTATAGGCTTGCAGGAATTAGTAGTTTAGTTGAACAAAAAAAAGAAACTTTCATGTGTCCAGTGTTACAAATGTATTGAACATGTACAAACTATTTACATAAAACATGTACAAACATAACTTGACAGGGATTAACTCTAATAAATTAGAGGTCGCTTCCATAAACCAGTGGCGGCGCCAGATATTTAGTTTTGGGGGTGCTGTGGGGTAGCTTGACGTTTCAGAGGGTGCTCAAACATTTAGGGTTTCCCATTAATGTACCGGGTGCTACAGTTGAATACGCACATACACAGTGTACCCGCGACTCTTACAATGAAGGCTCGATAATCAGCTCACATACCTGTATACAGTAGGTGTATGCAGGGGTAAAGTGGAATTTTGGATACCTCTCTCAACATCTCTGAAACAGAACTGTAAACAGATTTACTTTTTCTTTATGGATATTTTACAAATCACTCCTTTTAAACTGTATTCTTGTTTTACTGTCATATTGTGTTTCATAACTGTTTTTCATGTATTCTCTTATTGTTTTATAACTATAATGATCTGAAGGTGTGCCTCGGAAATAATTGTTTACATAAATTGTGACCAAACCGTTTGAGAACCACTGAGATAACAACAACAACGCCAGGTACTGTGCGCTCTCTCTCTCTCTCTCGCTCGGAGCGGCGTCCCGGTGCTCTCCGGCGGCAGCACTACATCCCTGAGTGCAGGCATATTGTCATTCAAGAGGGAATACGAAGTGTTTTTCTTTTAGCCGATTTACCTCGTTAACGTAGCCTAAATAACTTTCATGGGAGCTCAGACCCCTCCTTATGGGAGCCCAGCTCCCATTGGCTCCCACATAACTCCAACCCTGGTGGAGAGTCTATCAAACCGGCCCACACCTGTCACCTGTAAAATATGAAGAACAGGGTGTCACTGTCCAGGTTGCTAGGCGACAGTGCTGGGAACGCGGGTGTCAGGTGATGCAAATAGGAAGTCTTCCGTAAACCAGACCGTCTCATTTCGTAGACCGCTCGGTTTGCTGTTCCTTCACTTTATTTTTATATTTATAATTTTATATACATTTATTTTGGACGAAAACGTAATGTGAGGAAAGGCATGTGTGGCGTGAGTGCGTGAGATATGTGTTAATTGCGTGACTCTCATGCTCAATGCGTGTTGGCAGCCCTGCATGTCATCACGCTGAACAGTGGCGTGCACAGACATTTATAGGGGCAGGTGCTCAAGAGAAAAAAAAGGGCACCTTCTGAGTCGTCGTGGCGGTCGCGCCGAAATTGTGCGCTCCGAAATTGTGCGCAAAAATTTGCCGGATAATGGCGGATTTTGTTAGTTTATTTTCGGTTTTTGGTTACTTTATTTCGGTTTTAGGGTTAGGATTAGGTTAGGGTTATGTTATTTAATTCTTATTTTTGCCTGATTTTACTGATTTATTATCAAAATATTAATTATTTTAACATTTATTTGTATTATTCTAAATGACTTAGGGGGGTCCAATCTGAAGCTAAGGGGGGGACGAAATCCCCCCCCCCCGGGATTGACGCCCCTGGTGGAACCGCCGGCTGCCTTAGCAGTGTGAGATTTATTAAAGGCACATCTTGTATGTCGTAATTGCATATATATTTATTTCAATAGTCTGATGCAGATGCCTATCTAAAACAAATCAAATAGTAGGCTTACTAGCTTCTACACGCTAAAGCAACTGTAGTCAGGGATGCAAACTCATCAGGTATGAAAAAGGTGACAAGGATCCGAGCCCCCCGACCCCACGGAATATCAGCTTTAAAATTAGGAATAACAGAGGATTTTAGCAGTCAAAACAACTAAAGCAGCAGGTAATAATAACAGAAACGCCAAAGAGTTACATCTAATAGAAATATATAAAAGTATTTATTTTTAATTGTGTAGCAGTCAGTTTATAATTTTGGCAGCACTGTTGAGCATTTTGAAAATGTATTTTCATGCCTCTTAGTATTTTTATAATACTTTTCTACTTTCACTTGAGGAACATTTTGAATGCAGGATTTTTACTGTAACAGAGTATTCCTACACTCTGGTACTTCTACTTTTACTCAAGTACAAGATCTGAGTACTTCAACTTTTATTAAGTACAAGATCTGAGTACTTCTACTAAAGTACAAGATCTGAGTATACTTCTACTTTTACTCTAGTAGCCTACAATCTCTATACTTATACCACCTCTGTTTATAGCCTATGAAAAAAACTATTAGAAAACGAAGGCTAAAGCTAACGTTAGCAGATAGTGACAATGATATTGCAACAGAAAAACTTTTCAGTTCACATCACGCTCTGCCGCTCTGCTCTGAACACCTGAACGGCCCGTTCTAACAGCTGTTCACCAGCGGCTCAGTCTGTGCCACAGTGACTCCGCACAGTTAACGAACACACCGTAGATAATGTAGCTGACCCTCATCCCGGAGCAGCAGAGTTCAGCCGGCCCGACAGGCAAGAAGACTCGAGCACACAGCTCGCGCTTCATATATTAAAAAAGAACACCATGCGCGTCATGATGGCACATAACAGCTCGCGACTGCAGATTATTTCGGCGATTAGATAAAATGTAAATTATATTTGACGCAACTTGTTACATTTCCATGACTTTTCCAAAACTTTTGGAAAAATATTGTTTTCCATAACTTTTCCAGGGCCTGGAATTTGCATTTTGAATTTCCATGACTTTTCCAGGTTTTCAATGACCGTACGAACCCTGTATAGTTTAGTTTGGCATCTGATTTAGGGGATTAAACAATACACTCGTTGTATTTGTTACCTGGTGGTTACTTACTTGGTCGTCACTAGGGCACTTTTAATCGTGTTGCTGCGTGCTGCTGCACCACACACCCGCCGTGGCCTGTCTGACTGTAAGCTCTGCGCGCTGCGCGTTCACGTTGAGAGCAGGGAAGGGAGGGGCTGCAGCCAGAGCACTAGTGATAGGAATTCCGGCTCTTCTTGGTGAGCCGGATCATTTGGCTCAGCTCACCAAGAAGAGCCGGCTCTTTCGGCTCCCAAACGGCCCTTCAGTTTACCACATATTATACCTTTTAATTAAATCAAATGTAGCCCTGTTTTGACTAATGATTTATATGTGTACACATATATCACTTAAATTATTCAATATATCCTTTGTACTGAAGTATTCAAAAGTAAAAATTACATGTTTAATATAAATGATTTGCTGTGGCCAATTGTTTTCATTGCATTTACAGACCCTTGTAACTCTCTGATACCCAGTGGCGACTGGTCATTAGGGGCAGGTGGGGCACAGCCCCACCTAGTGTCAGTAGAAAGTATTAAAAATAATGATTACAACAAAATGCAAAAAATAAATTAAAAAAAATATAAAATATATTTTAAGATCATGTTTAATCATCTGATTCGTCTGTACATTGCTGTTTTAGTCTGTGTTCTTCTAATTAGTGTCCACAGTGTGTGCCTATTGAGCTGTTTGAGCCATGTGGGACAAAACCCGATCCTGCCCCTCCTTCTCTATGTCTAAGTGAACGGTGACTGTAAAAACTACACTGCGCATGCCCAGAATATTTTCCTATTTAATGTGTGTGGCAAAAAAATAATGACCATAGGGGCATAGAGCTGCCATCCCCACCATACGTCATCTCACATCATTCAGAGCTGATTGGCTGTAAGTACGTGTGCCGCGAAAAGTGTGGTGTGTGGAGGAGACGAGAGAGCTGCAGTGACGCATCCTAAAACCCGGAAGTAAGCTGCGCATGGCTTCCTTCGACAAAAAAGCAATGATATTTCTCCATAGGATTTTAGAAAATAGCTCCAAATAAGATCTGTGGGAAACAAACCTGTTAGATAATTGCACGTTTTGTTCAGCCGGATAATATCCACATGTCTACCCTACTTTTATAATTTTCGAATCATAAATCTATTGATTAGATTAGATTTATGATAGACTTTTGAAACTACAAGAACATAAGGAGGACTTTTACAAAAAAGTAATAGAGATTTTTGTCCAGAAGGATAGGCAAATGGACTTCATCTTCAAGTCAAGGTAAGACTGCAATTTTATTGAAAATGGGATCTTACTAAGAGAGAACAATTCAATATTTGAATAATTAAATTAATTTTTTTTGGGTATCCTTCTGTTGAACTGTCTGTTTAAAATGAATTGAAGCATCAGACAAAAAAAGCTTTTGAAAATAATATTATATTTTGATTTAGGTCAAAATATAATATTTGTAAACCTGAAGAGTCAGTGCCAGTGCCTCACCAGCCATGAACCTCACTGCAGAAGCTTATAGACATCTGAGTGTTTTGTGCCCCACCACTTTTGTACATATAAAAACGCCACTGCTGATACCACCCAATGAATGCATTGACTTGCTTGTAGAACCACGCTACACAAAACAGATAAGGGGTTACTGTATCGACCTATATAAAGTATATAAATATCTTTTTTTATATAAAAAAATATAGACTATATAGACCAAAAAGATCCTGCATTTTAGCCATGCCTCATTTCGCTCTATTTGCTCTTTCCAGCGCTGTTTTTGGCAGTGGCTGATTCTGTGAGCTGCAGCTGACCACGCCCCCCTGCAGGAGAGGGGAGCGTGCTTTGAGATCAGCTGCTGGGCTGCAGCAGGGAGAAGAGGGGGAGAAAAAGAGATCTCCGTCCTCCGTGTTTTATTCTTATAGAAGTAAGAAGAGAAGTAATGGGGCAGAAACCCTCCTTTTTACGCAGCGGTCCAGACATAGATCAAACGGCGACACATATTCAGTGTGAAGTTCCTTTGGCATTAGGGCAGGGATATCTAGATACTTTCCAAGATTTGACATAATGAATTGTGCTACTTTTAAAGCAAGCAACGATGTTTTCAAATCTGTAATCAAAAAGCTCCTCAAAAACACTATCGAAGCAGTTCCTGCTGTTGCTACGTTAGTTCAAACAGTAACAACGGACTACTTTTCTTAGCGGATGCATGTCAATTTAAATCAATACATAAAACTATTTTTTAAATCAATAAAATCATTTTCTAAATCCATAAAAGCATTTCAATTAATATTGGGAGTCATGTCGTTACTTTGTTGAGAATGTGGCCATGTAATAAGCGGGATAATGTGCACATTGCATAATGTGCCTTCAAGCCGATCTAGATCCCTCCGCAAAAAAAACAAAAAACCGGCTCGTTCGCGGGCGAGAGCCGGCTCCCGTCGTTCACTTAAAAGAGCCGGCTCTCGCATTTGGGGCATTGTTGTATATATTAGAAGCTTTTAATCCAGAATTGATCGATGTTACCATGAGAAAAAAAAAACTGTAAAAAAAGAACTTTCAAAAGGGCACATTGCTGTCAAGAGGGCAAAACGGGCAGGTGCTCAAGCACTACCTAGAGTCTATGTGTGCACGTCTCTGACGCTGAACATTAGCCGCCTTTAGCTTAGCGCTGACTAGCCCAGCCATGTGATGGAGTTTGTTTATAGCCTTACGTTAGCTTTGTACTTCTGGAGATTTACTTTTGGAACAGGTTTAAAAAATGAATCACCAGAATTGTCTTTTTCTTTCCTCTTACCTTTTGTATTATGCACATTGAGTACTTGGTTACATGTTAACATGGTAAATGTATGAAAATCTATCTCGTTATTTGAGATGCTTGAGCCAACCACACTGGGTGAGTTCTTCTTCTTTTCCCACTCATCTTTGTGTGAGTATTTTCAGCTGCACATGAAACCATTAGACCATAAAACCGCTGGGTGCTTTCAGGAGCTGTTTACCGTGTGTGATGGTGCGGCGGAGCTCCAGCAAGCTGCGGAAGGACAGCGAGGCCACGTGAGGTTTGCCCCAGCGGTCCGTCTCCTCCTCCACATCCTCCTCAAACTTGATCCAGCTGGCGCGCTCCTTCCAACGCATTTCATGGTCCTTCACGATCAGCTCGTTCAGCTCCACAAACAGCTGGAGACGGAGTAGAGCGAACATATAAAAACTGTGAAAATGACATCTTTCACTTTTAATATTCTACAGGTTCTAGGTTTAAAAAGGTTAACACCTACTAACTATTTTAGTTTAAAAAACAGCAGCACAACCGTTTGGCTGCCCCTTTCTTGCATATCTTTTCAAATCAAAACAATATCAATTCCAAGACAGCTAATCCGATGATACAGCGGATACAAAACATTATGGGGAGCAACCTAACTAAGCGGTTTGGATCCATCCGAGAGTGATTTGGACTCAGAGGATAACCAAATGCTTTGGAGAGACATTTATTCACATTCTATCAAATAATTCATTTTTAGCAAAGTGTTTTCAGAGCAACACAATAAAACACTCGTTTGATTTGTGTGTTTGGGACCTTTTTTGCTGTCAAATTGAGGTTGAACACAAGTTCAGGTCTCATCAGGTCACTGTATGGGAATGTGAAACTGAGATTGCACTCCAGGAGACTTGGCCTTTATGAGACCTATCTATATGGAGTCATACTTAACAAGTTTGTATATACATGTATATCGACAATGGAAAGTGACTTTGTGATATGAAGGGCTGCATGTATTGATAGCACTTCTTTTTTTTTTTCCAACAAAAGTGTTTCAAACTATTTTGACTCTTAGCTAATGTTTTGGTCTTAAACAAAACACTACAGGCAAAACCATGTTTTTCAATGGTTCATTTGGGTTAGTGTGTGTGTGTTTGTGACATTTTTGCTGTAAAATGGAAACGAAACACAAGGAGCATGTTCAAGTATCTTAAGGTAATGACATACGAATGTGCTAATATCTATATTAATTTATATAGAGGCTATATATATGTTGTGATACACACATAAATGATTATCATCCAACGCAGTGTTTCGAACAGTTAACCTATTTCAGCTCATTGTTTTGGTTGTCTTCATTCAGACTAGTGGAAAGAAAACATTGAAATATACATTTCGGTGTTTTGTTTTCCTCTGACGATTTATGTTTATGTATTTCTCCTCAATCCACCTAAATGTTGCATTAGTTGTCATTTATATTAACCATGACATTTAATATAAATGTTAATAAAACAAATTGGCTTAGTGTATGTAATCAACTGGGAAAGTTACATGGTGATAACTATAAGTTACATATTTGTACCTATTCACCTGTACAGTCTCCTCTTAATACTGCTTTAAAGATGATTCGGATAACTGACCATTTATGGTTATATGATGCGTGCATATTGAAGTGTTTCATGTAGCATGGGGGGGGCCCTCAAACCTCATGTGTTTTCTTATCTGCTGCTCTCTTCTTCTTCAGGGTGCTCAGTGGCGTGGAGCCGCTGCTGTTTCGTGTCACCAGACATCGTGAGGACTTCTTCACCAGGTGGCGCCTCACCCCGGGGTTGTCCTCAAATCTGTGACCTGTACACACACAAAGTGTTCTCAAGTCAAAATGCAAATAGGTCAGCATGGCTAAGTCATAATGCGTCAATTTCACGAGGAGGAACTGCATTCTGTAGCCTGAAATGCCCTTTTTTGAGGGCTGTGAACCAAAGGAAAAACCTTTTCTCTATCAAAAAATGTGCTCCATGCTGGAAAAACCTAAATCTAATTTGTCTGTTTATGTTTCCAGCGGACAGAAGGACATCCATTGACAGAAGGCAAAGCTCCATTGGTAAGAGAGAATCTATGTAGGACATGGGAAACTGAGCAGAACATTTTGCCCCTGGGTTATATAGGGTTACGTTTCGACATGGGTTTGGTGTATTTAAGGTCACGGTAAACATCTGGGGGACAGTTTAGAAACCAACATTTGCGTCCAGTTTGGAACAAACCTCTGTATGTATTTTATTACTAAGAAAACACAATATCTAATGGTTTACATGAGCAGCTGTAGGTAACTGAAGTGGAGGTGAGAGAGTGTGTGTTTAAAAAACTGCAGTCAGTGTTCCATTCTCCTGCGTCATGCCTTCCTCAGGGAAACACAAAGAAATGGAAATCAAGATGAAGTTAGGCTGTATTTCAGCTTGTAGTCCCCTGAGGGAAAGCTCTGACGGTAGTCCTTGTTTGACCTGCTGCAGCTGTGTCATGGTTTAGATTTTTGTTCTTTTATGTTTCCTGTTTTATTTGATAAACACATTGTCCCTGTGTTATGTCTCTTTGCACTTCCTTTCTCTCCTGGCCTAATTGGTTGCACCTGTTCCCCTGCAACCACCTGACCTCCTGAACACCTGCACCCATCCCCTCAGTTCAGACTCTATTTAAGTCTTGTGGTTCTGGTAAGTCAGATTCTTGTTTGTGGCATGCTCTTCTTTTCTGTTTTGCCTGGTTATACCTTAAATTAAAATCTTTATATTGAAAGTTCCTGTTGCCAGTAGGGTCCACACCTGCTCTGTGTACTTAACAAGCTGATTTGGATGAGTTGTGTTTCTCAACGTAGAGCAGGGCAAGGACAGGGCAAATTACTCTAGTTGAAAAGGACCTATTATTCTTTCCTCTGGAGCTGGTATCTGACCAGGGCCTTTAATAATAAGCAATCCATGCTTAAAAAACAAAGAAAAGCCTCATACAACCTTATTACTTTCATCGTTATAATCCAGCACCCCATAAAATGTTTAAAAATGTGTGTGCAGTGTCAACTGTTTCAGACAATTTGGATCAGTAGCCAAAAGAAAGAGCATCAATTAGGCGTTTTCCACATCTGCTTGGCTAACCTGCATTTCTGCCTTCACATGCACTGCTGCCTCCCTAATATTTACATGTTGAGAAGGTCACAACTAACTCTAGGAGTGGCACTGTATTTTGAATGGTACACGATTTGTTCTAGTACACATTTTCCTAATATTTTTTTACTGCTAGATTTTTTGTATTCCATCTGGAAATTATGGAAATAAAAAATGTAATTATCGTTGAACAGTAAAATTAGCTATTGCCTGTTCTGTTGGTATCAGAACCTTATTTTATAAAGACATACTTGTAGACAAACAAGCACAAAGTGAATCGGATGAAGCCAAATGCAAAGCACATAGTTTGTTTATTCTTGGGTTTTTTTATTTGAATAAATTGGTCAATAATATACTGTCTATTCTACTTTTCCTGATGTGTGGAATGAAGAGGTTTTTTTTGTATTATTTCCGTTTCCGTGCAGCAGTCACCCCTAGATCAGGGGTGGGGAACCTCCGGCCCCCGGGCCATATACGGCCCGCGAGACCATTTGATACGGCCCTCGAGGTAATTTATAAACACACGAAAAAATGTTAAAGAAATCTAGACCGCAAAATAATTTAAAAAGCGAGTGTCTGTTTTTTCTGGCCAAGGTCAGGGTCCTTGAACACAACACGAACCTAACGTGTCATCACGTGGTATATGTCTCGTATGACGGGTGCAGTTCTGCCGGAGAGCACCAGAACGCCGCTCCAACACTTCATAAATGTCAGGAGGGTAGCCATATTTTTTTAAAAGTAGCCTACCCATAAGGAGCCGTACACATGCCGCAGTTTTTGCGTGGCTGTGTCTTTAGTTTAAAGCCCAGTGGCGATCTGTTCATCCGACATACTGATCATACAGTCAATAACTTTGTTGTTATTAGCATCTGGTTAGCTAGCTATGCTAACGAATATAAGAAGCTTTTTCTACAACCAGTGAGGTAAAGGCACATCTTTATATGATCATTATAGTTATACAAAAATAAGAGAATAAAGGAAAAACAGGTATAAAATACTATATGACAGTAAAAAAAGTTGTTATTAATAAACAAGAATAGAGTTTAAAAGGGAAGTGATTTGTAAAATATCCATAAAGAAAAAGAAAATCTGCTTACAGTTCTGTTTCATATGGGTGTTGAGAGATGTATCCATAGATCTCTTAATGTTGTTCTCAAAGTGCACCAGATTGATGCTTTTAACTTCCCGGGGGTGCATGCCCCCGGACCCCCCTAGAGGAGGTTAGGTCCCCCCCCACTTAAATAATGTTCACATGGATAGGAAACTAAATACTTTCTGTTTTGGTGGTCATGCCACAACCGTGCACATGCATGCATATGCGAGTCATGGTAAGATATCTGGATTAAGAGGTTGCTTTTTCTTTGCACAGCATGAAAGAAAGGCCAAATGAATGGGCTGTGATTTTAGTTTTTTTAAGCAGAGGTTGAGTTCAATCATTTGTACGGCCCTCTGAGGATGTTGGAAAAATTGAAATGGCCCTTGAGAGGAAAAAGGTTCCCCACCCCTGCCCTAGATAGAAGGGAATAACTGACTTGAAATTGCTGTCACAGATATAGCTTTTAAAAGTCACCGTCAAATCTAACCAGAATTGTCACATGTTTTTCTTTAATATATCTGACTACGGTCAGATATATTAAAGAAAAACATGTGACAATTCTGTGGATGAATTTTTTTTTCTTTTGCAATGAGCTGAAAAAAAACACTTTGACTGTGCTCTGTGATGGGACTTAACATGGTCAATATGAGCATTCTCTTCATTGGTCTTGATTGTTAACTCGATATAAAGACACATGTTGTAGATCATTTTTGATTTAGCTGAATATAAGCCATCCCGTGTAACCAACCACCTCATTGCGATACAACTGATGGTTATGCATTTATAAAATCAGGCAAATCCCAAGAATTACCAAATCCCTTCAAAATAAAAACCTCAAAACAGAATTAATTTGCTTGCCAGGTACTATGTTGTCCTAGGATCTGATTTTTTGTTTTCCATGGCCTTGATTAAATCCAATTAGTGTTCAAATCTAATTTGCAACATATTTGTAATCAAATAAACCAAAATCTAGCTTGGGCTGGGATCTGACCAGGACATCCAGTTTAGACAGTAAATCATTAGTCTTTTAAAATTGTCACATAGTCTCCAAAGCTGCAGATAACTTTCAAAGTGAATTTCCCTCTAAAATGTTTTAAAATATTCTTATCAGGAAGTTATTATTATTTAAAGTAACACCTTTGACTGGTTTATGAGTATTTTCATCTGGTTTACATTTTTGATTTACATTTGTTTACGCTTGCTTAACACAGAGCAGGGATGGGCTTTTATTTGTAATGAATGAAGTAGCCTTGAGAAGCTATCTTGAAGCAGATATTAGCAGAGGTCAGATAAGCTCACTTATTTCTAACTCCTAACCTACAGTGTTTTATTTTTCATTCTTCTGGTCCTCAGACCCAACTGGCCAAGTAAGCATCACTTGAGTCAATTTATCAACCTTGGCTCATCTCCATCTCAAGACACTTAAGGCTTCATACCGGTTTTTTCTCCTAGCCTGATCTCCTAGCTTAATGTTCGGTCCAATACGAAGAAACTACATTGTCAATTCAGCCTCAAATGAAAAGTTCTGGGATAATAATTATTTCTGACATAAAATGTGGTTCTTATCAAAGTCCACAGGGGACCTTGGAGCAGTTGGGTCTACAAACTTGGAACTCCGACCAAAAACCCTAATCCTAGACCAAGTCATTTTGTATCTTAAACATAACCAAGTAGCGTTGCATTCATCTTTGTCAGGTGTAGTTTAGATCTATTGGAATATCATTTTGAAGAAACAATGGTTATTTTTTCAGAAGAGATTTACATTTGTTAGAACTATGAATTTACCTTTTTGATACAAGACTTCAAAGTTTTTTAAAACATGGCCTTAATTCCCCTGCTCTCACTTTGACGATCATTTTACTATTGGTGAAACAAAGTCAATAAAGGGTGTGGCTTCCTGGCCAACAGACACCCAAAACAGGTGACTATCTGATAATTGCACAGAGCTTGCTGTGGATAAACACGACTATGGTTCTACTACAGTCACAGTAGTGAATACAGAATGCAAATAATAACATGCAGTATTTTAGTTTAGGGCTGACTAAAACGATATGGCAGTTGCCTCGCCCTCAATCATAAGGCTTTACAGAGGGTGGTGAAAACTGCACAGCACATCACCAGGACGGAGCTGCCATCCATGGAGGACCTCTACTCCCAGCGACTCAGGAAGAAAGCCCTCAGGATTACAAAATACCCCCATCACCCCAGCCACAAACTGTGCCGTCTGGCAGGCGGTACCGCAGCATCAGGAATAAAACCACTAGACTCAGGGACAGTTTCATCCCACAGGCCATACGACTATTAAACACCTGAGCTTGCACTATTTTAATTTGTATTGTTGTTTTTTTAACATTTATTTTTCTATGTCTTGCACTGTTGAGGAACCTGCGATCTAAGTTTTTCATACATTACAAAATTACACCGTAGTTGTGTAAATGACAATACACCTTTGAATCTTGAGCTATTGGATATGTCTTTAGTTTAATAGCGACCGGTCGATCGCGAAGGTAGTGTGGGTACTGTAGATCACATGGCATTGAAAAAGAAAGAAAAGAAGAAAAAAAAGTTAGCCTATCATACATCCTTACTATTGCCACTTGATT